GTACCATGAGCCTGACATTTCATTGATTTGAAACTTTTTTTTGTACTCTACTCAGAATGAGATTTCACGTGAGAGAATCTCCTGGACTCAAACAAGAGGCGACGTTAGGAACATCTGGCAGGGTGTCTCAAAGCCAAGGTGAGTTGGGTGCCTAATTCCCTTGGGCATTCCCTGAAAGTGCCATCAACTGCAGCGAGTGCGTATCTATAGACGATTACGGTGAGGTAAATGACACGCGCACACAGCCGGATTCAGTGCACACTAAATCAATCGATAGCATCCCTCTGACTTCAGCGGGCTTTGGGAAACAGATCCTGGGACCTTCTATTCCTGCAACAGGAAAATGCTAGTAATGTTACATGCCACACAGCTACATTAAAGGAATATCAAGGTTGCAAACTGAAGCTCTCAAAAGTTAGATGTCAGAATTTAGGAGGCCAGTGTGACCATAATTCAGCTCCCTGCATTATGTGATCACCTACTGCTCTTCTTCCAGACTCCTGCCTCGTTTGTCATTACTAGGCTATTGGCCAGATCAGTGGATTTCAACCTTTTTTACTTTTGCAAACCCCTAAGAAAGTGGAAAGGAGGTGCTGACCCCTTTGAAAATCTTAGACATGGTCTGTGGTTCCCAGGGGTCTGCCTGTGGACCATAGGTTGAAAACTTCTGTGCTAGATCATTGGAGATCAGCCACTAGAAGGCAGCATGGTATGAAGTACCCAAGTGAATCTGCTTTTGTCCTGTGGAGAGGGTGCATTTCAGTGTGAGATGTATGGCTGTCAGTGAATGTGATGGGAAAAGAGAGGTGATATTATCAGTCAGTCCCTCTAGGTTTGTTTCATTTTTGATATTTTGGGGCTAATTGGCCAGGATGACCAGAGGAAACGGGTGATCTCACAACGGAAGAGATTCCAAATGTGGTGGCAGAATGATGCTCGTTTGGAGCGGTGTGTTAATTAGGAGCAACTGTAAGTGTGTGGTCACTGCACGGTTGTGATGCACTCAGGGGAATATTAACGCAACTCATGACTAATCCCCCTAACGTGTTAAGATACCTTCAGTGAGGCCAATCTCTTGAACTACATAATTAACGCTAAAGACACAAGGCCAGATCTTCAGCTGATGTTAGTCCGCAGAGTTGTCCTCACTGGCAAGCTCTTTGATATACAGCAGCGAGGGGAAATTAACTAAGACATAAACTGATTTCTGACATTGAAAACTCCTGGGTCCAGTTCCTCACCTGGTGTAAATGGCTGTAGCGCAGGGGTGGGCACTAACATGACGGTGATCTGCCTGGCTTGGTTCCTGGCGAGGAGTGGATATGTTTACCCGCATGGGCACAAGTACCAGTGATCGCTGCTCCCATTGGCTGCAGATCGCTGTTCCCGGCCAATGGGAGTGGAGGGAAGTGCTGTGGATCTGGACACTGCTTCCCTTAGCTCCCATTAGCCAGGAACAGCAATCTACAGCGCTGCGATCATCGGAACCGGTGGCCATGCAGGTAACTATAGCAGTGGGTACCCTGATGGATTGGCTCTGGCCTGCAGGCCAGTATGTGCCCTTCCCTGGTATCTCACTGCTGAAGTCAGTGAAGCTGCTGAGCGGATTTACAGACTGTTAGGGCTGAAGTGGCCCAGACCAGGCCATCTAACGCAAACCTATTATTGGGGTGTGGAGAGGGAGGGAGCATTGCTATCTCCAGACAAGCCAGGACTATCACAAACACCACCCTCACAAAGGACACCAGCTGGCACCTTTGGTGGCTACGAGAGTCCAAGGACTGACTTACCCTCTTGACTCCAGAGTGTGAAATTCTGGACCCCTGACGTCCATGGCAAAACTCCCATAGACTGTAGTGGGCCAGGATTCCGTCCCCAGAGTGGCGTCTACAGCCCAAGTGGGAGGAATATTGCCAGATCCATGTGCAGGAAATAGTATTGTCCCACTTGTTAATTTAGGGCTTGTCGACATGCTGCCCTGCTGTGATGCCATGTAGACAAGCCCAGCTGAGTCTCGAAACATTGCCGTGAGCTAGGGTAGTGCCTTCCCCACTTCACATATGAGGAAGATGATGCTCTGAAAAGGGGTTTTGTTCAGCATCACGGAGGAAGTCAGACGTTCCAGCTGCCTCTGGACACGGTTTCAAGGCCTGCTGTGCAAAGTGCGGATAAAAAGGACTTCAGTTCTCAGGGCTGTCAGGCTAGTGCTTCCCACTAGAATGGGGTCCCTTTCATCAGCCGTTCTAGCTAAAGTTGTTTGGCTGATGCTAGCATGGTAAGTTATAGAACATTTTTCTATTACCGGGAGGGAAGAGAGAGCTGATAATTACCCAACAAATGTACAAGGGAAGATAAAGGCCTATTGCTGCCACCTACTAAATAAGCCCAGTTCTGACGGATTTGGGCTTGTTTAGTCTGCAGAAAAGAAGAGTGAGGGGGGTTTTGAGAGCAGCCTCCAACTCCCAGACGGGGGTTCCAAAGAGGATGGAGAGAGGCTGTTCTCAGGGGTGGCAGATGGCAGAACGAGGAGCAATGGTCTCAAGTGGTAGTGGGGGAGGTCTAGGTTGGATTAAGGAAAAACTGTCCCAACAGCCTTGCTGGGCCCTTAGGACAGGTGTGGGGGGTTGGTCCTGCTTCATACCCCCAGAAGAATCAGGCCCTGGGCCAGTTGCCCCCTTTGCCCACCCCAACGTTGGCAGGCCTGGGAACGGGTTTCCCTAGGGAGAGGGTGGAATCTCCACCCTTAGAGTTTTTAAGATGACACTTGACAAAGTCCTGGCTGGGATAATTTAGTTGGAGTTTGCCCGGATTTGAGCTGAAGGCCGGACTCGATGGCCTCCTGAGGTCTCTTCCAACTCTAATCTATGTTAGGCAATGCCCACGCCTCTCTTGGGGCAGCCCTCTCACTCAATTAGCAAGGCAGAGGCTGTGTTGGTGATTGGATTCCCTTCAGCACAGAGTAGGCAGTTAGAAAGGACTTGGAGTCCAGGCCCTACAGGAAGAGGCAGTGACTCAGAACTCTTGGGTACCAATTCCCCATACTGCCTGGGCCTCACTACGCATACTTGGTGAATTCACTTTTCTACGCCTCAGTTTACCCTTTGAAAAATGTGTCAAACACCTTAGAAGGCTGTTGTGAGTGCTAGTTATTTAGGATCAGGTTTTAAACCCCTTGCTCCCACAAACAGGATTGGGAGGAGCTTTTGTGCAAATAATTCACCAATGGGAGTAAGGCATTCATAATCTGGGTGGGGCTATTTCAGAGTTGTCTGTGGAGGTAAGTGACCAATTTCAGTTGAATTCCAAGGAATTCCCTTTGGCATACAACCAAATCCAAGCCCTGGCCTTAATGTTCTGGGACAAGGAGCATGCTAAACATGCACAATATGGACTTAGCGCGAGACACCTGTGGTCCTCAACCCACAAGGGACTGTGTTCCCACAGGCTTTGCTTTGGTGATGGTGAATCTCCTGGACTCAAACAAGAGGTGACATTAGAAACACTTGGCTACATGAAGCCTACATGTTAGTTTACAGGGAAACTTCTAAAAAGTGCATCCAGAGGGGAAGGAGGTTACATCATTAAAAATAGGTCAGGTAGGATGTGACAAAGCTGCATCGCAAGATTAGTCTGACTTTTTCAGGAGGAAATGTGCTTATTTGACTACTTTCTGATCGAGGCAATGTTTTTCTTAGCCCATTAACTAGTTCAGTTGAAGGCAAAAGGTCTTCCTACTGCCACTCCCCTATGAAGCTGCTCTTTACCCAGAGAGATGGAATGTTTACTCCATTAAAACAGCCTGTGAAATAGATGAAAGTTCAACAAAAGCTATAAATAGTAACTGGAGCGTACTTTCCTAGAGCATGCAGATCCTCCACACTCACGATATCTTGTCTGACATAGCTCTAGGTTTGACGTGAAATAGCTTTCTTGCAGCTTCTGGAGAATGAGCAATTAAAACAATAAAGAGGTCAAATAATTCCAGGAAAGCTGGTGAATTCCTACAGAGGAGATGACAATAATTGTTCTTCAGTGGCTCTCTCTGCTAGGCTGGGAACTTCTCTAAGGAATGCCTTCTCCTGATAATAACGTGATAGGTAGCAGCCAGCATAGATTTGAAAAGAACAATTCATGTCAAACTAATCTGATAGCTTTCTTTGAAATGAAATCAAGTATTGTGAATAAGGGAGACATGGTGGATGTAGTATACCTAGACTTTAGTAAGGCATTTGATATGGTCTTGCATGACTTTCTTATAAATAAATTAGGGAAATACAACCTAAATGGGGCTACTACTGGGTGGTGCATAACTGGCTGGAAAATCATTCTCAGAGGGTAGTTATTAATGATTCACAGTCATGCTGGAAATGCATAAAAACTGGGGTTCCACAGGGATCAGTTCTGGGACTGGTTCTTTTCAATATCTTCATCAACTATTTAGATGATGGCATAGAGAGTATGCTTATAAAGTTTGTAGATGAAACCAAGCTGGGAGGGGTTGCAACTGCTTTGGAGGATAGGGTCATAATTCAAAATTATCTGGACAAACGGTCTGAGGTAAACAGGTTGAAGTTTAATAAGGACAAATTCAAAGCACTCCACTTCATAGAATCATAGAATCATAGAATAATAGGACTGGAAGGGACCTCAAGAGGTCATCGAGTCCAGCCCCCCGCCCTCAAGGCAGGACCAAGCTCCGTCTACACCATCCCTGACAGATGTCTATCTAACCTGTTCTTAAATATCTCCAGAGAGGGAGATTCCACCACCTCCCTTGGCAATTTATTCCAATATTTGACCACCCTGACAGTTAGGAATGTTTTCCTAATGTCCAATCTAAACCTCCCCTGCTGCACTTTAAGCCCATTACTCCATGTCCTGTCCTCAGAAACCAAGAGGAACAAATTTTCTCCTTCCTCCTTGTGACACCCTTTTAGATATTTGAAAACCACTATCATGTCCCCCCTTAATCTTCTTTTTTCCAAACTAAACAAGCCCAGTTCATGAAGCCTGGCTTCATAGGCTTCTCTAGACCTTTAATCATTCTTGTCACTCTTCTCTGTACCCTTTCCAATTTCTCCACATCTTTCTTGAAATGTGGCGCCCAGAACTGGACACAGTACTCCAGCTGAGGCCTA